GCAGTCTAGTAGAATTAACATTTAATCCTTATATGTCCCTGGGCAAGTATTTTAACCTGAAAAAAAGACTTGATTCACCTTCTAATAGGTGAGGATAACGCCGAGTCTAAAAGCTGTGCTGCTGACTTATCAGTGGCCAAGAACACAGATTCTTGAATCACACTAATGGGACAGATTCCAAGCTGTCACTTACTGTGGCCTTGGATAGATAACATCCTTCCTCCTTTCTTCAGTTTCCTCATTTATGAAATGAGGATGATTAACTTTGAAGGATTAAGTAATGCTACTTAATCAATAATATTAAAGGAAACTTAAGATCCAGACTCCTGAAAATACTACTTTTAATCAGGTTAAAGTGCTAAGAAATTCAAGCCTAGATCAGAGCAGGAAGGAGAAGGGGCAGAAAAGCCTGAGACTTAATTTGTTTCTGTTGTTGGCCTCCAGGGGGCGATGTTGCATAAGCTGGAAATACCCCTCGAATGAAAGTTCAGCTTCCCTCCTAGGAGCTCCTTAAGTCACAGATCACCCAGGTGCACATTCTGAACAGGCTCAACACCCAGATCAGTCATGGTCAAGGAAGCATCTCTTCCTAATAGCCTCTAGAACTTGCCTAAACAGGGATCTCTTGGCTCTCAGATTTTCCCAGGTGAAAGGACTCCGCGTAGTCTGGCACATTACTTTCTGCTCTTCATGGGGGAGCTTCCAGAGAACAGCTCTCCGCTTCCTCCCTGCATAGCCTTGTTCTCATGGACCCTCCTGCTGCTTGGAATGCTCTTCACAGTGAGTAAGTAACGTTGTACCGCATGCTCCTGCCTCTGCAGAAGGAACATCGTTCAGCCTGGAACACTGTCTTGTTCTAAGTAGGACTGTCTTGGTCTCACTCAGCATTGACGTTGCAGGAGGACCTGGAGCCCAGTCAGTGGCCCAGCCTGACGGCCACATCACTGTCTCTGAAGGAGCCCCCTGGGGCTGAGGTGCAGCTATTCCTACAGTGCAGCCCCTTATCTCTCCTGGTACGTCCGGACAATGTCGTATGAAGGGAAAAGGCTTTCTCCCCGCAGCAGTGCCCAGTAACAGGCGTTGTAAGTTAATCACAATGTCATGCCAAAGTTCCAGGTGGGATCTTGGCATTGGTGGTTCTGAGTGACCCACCTAGGGCACCTGTCTCCTCTTTTCTCCCTTTTGAATCAGTTTTTCATCCCACTGTGTCCAATAAAAATTACTGATTCCTGATCATCTTTATTTTTCTACACTATTCATCCCAAGGCTTTTAGTGAACATTTGCAACATCCTTCAACTGTCCATCAGATCCTCACTGTCTGCAGATCACTTCACTTTCTACTTCAATGAAAGTTCACAGGGCCTCCTTTTCCATCCTTTTTGGCTTCAAGTCCAACTACAGAGAATTATTATTATTTGCAGACTCTGAGGTAAGAGCACAAATGAGAGTTATTTTCACATGTTTTCAAAACCACTTATTTCTCTTTTAAAATAAACTACTATATCTAAAAAGCAAAATACAAAAAAAATTTTTAAATGTAATAAAACAGGTGTTAAAATGCATATACAACTGAATTTGTACATTTGATTTTAAATGACAGAGTCTTAAGAGAAATAAAACTATTTACACTTCTAGTTTCAATGTCCATCTGGTGGCTACAGTAAATAATATCACTCATTAGGCAGGTTCAGAATAGAATAAATATATACAGTTAAAAGTAATACTGTTTAATACTGCAAAGTGCTCTAGCCAGCATGAGCAACTGCTGTGAATACTGTGCTGACTTGTGAGCATCCTTCAGAACCACAGACGAGGACATAAGTGAAATCATGGATCCTCAGCACTCCTGGGAAACACTTTCCTTACGCAAGAATCTACTGCATCCATGCCATCTGAGAAGGATCAGGCTCGATAATTACTTTCGATTTTTCTTTCCGAAAATTACCACCCCCTCCCTCAAATTCCAAATCAGAGTCTGTCTTCTCTGAAATGTTCTCAGAAAATGTCCCTCAGTCATAAAATAATGACCCTTCTTGTTCCCCCTTTCCCCCCAGCCCTCGTCACTCGTCAGAGCGCAGCGGAGGCATGAGGTGGGGCTTCCTGTCACACCATGTGGGCTTGAGCAGGATTTGTCGGTTGAGCTGCTTGGTTTCAGGGGCTGGAATGTTTCCAGAACCAATCATGAGATTCAGCATCTGATGAGTTAAGTATCTTACAGTGAAAACATCCCAGCAAGAAGGCGAGGCGTCATGAAGAGGCTGGTGGGCGCTGTGCTGGGGCTTCTGTGTGCCCAGGTTTGCTGTGAGTTGGGGCTGCCCCGCAGGGAATCTGCAGGACTGAGCAGCTGCAGTGTTGTTGAGGGGACAGGGATGGGAGCTGACAAGTCTTGCAGAATTTCTAGCTCTCTCATCATCCCTGGGGGCACTTTCAGGGTTTTGTAGGAACTAGATACCCTCACCTGTGACTGTTTATCTATTTCTCATCAGGTGTGACAGGGCAGGATGTGGAGCAGAGTCCTCCAGTCCTGAGTCTCCAGGAGGGAGCCACCTCTACGCTGTGGTGCAAGTTTTCCACCACTGTGTCCAATGTGCAGTGGTATTGTCAGAACTCCGGGGGCCGCCTCATCCACCTGTTTTACGTTGCTTCAGGGACAAAGCACGATGGAAGATTCAGTGCCACAGCAGTCATTCAAGAACGCCGCAGCTCCTTGAACATTTCCTCTTCCCAGACCACAGACTCAGCCACTTACTTCTGTGCTGTGAGCACAGTGCTCCCCGGGCACCTGCAGCCTGAACACAAACCCTCAGTGGGCTCGGCCCCCTCCAGCCACAGTCTCACCGTGAGGCCGCCACCTGCATCTGCAGGGCTTATCAGTCCCCACCTACATCAGTGTAGTTTCAATCACAGACACGTTTTCACCCTACAGATTTGGGACTTTGGTGTTTATCTTCCTTCTCAATCTGTATCTCCTTCTGCACTGAAAACGTCTAACTTGGGACTAGCAGAGTAGCTGATAAGAGGACAGAATTCAGAATTAAAACACATATTTACCACAGTAGGCTGGACTCCAAGATGGTGAAATGTGAAAGGGATTAAAAGAAAAGTCACTCCAATAAAGATATTATCCAGCTTAGCCGGGTGTCTGAAGAACGTCCAGGTCCACCTCAGTGCGTCCCAACAGGCGATTGTGAGTACATCCTACCAGTGCTGCAAAGCCAACAGACCAAATTCAAAGTTCAATATGAACTTGATCACTTAGAACAAATTTATTTCTTGTGTTTCTACATGCAAAAAGTCTGAAATCAATTTCACTGTCTGCAATCAAGGTCTTGGCAGGCTTGGCTCCTTCTAGAGGCTCTGAAGGAGATTCCAGTTCCTTGTCTCTTCCAGCTACTGGAGGCCACCTGGATTCCTCGGCTCATGAGCCTTTCTTGAATCTCTCCAACCTCTTGCTTCCACCACCACTGCTCCTTTCTCTTCTGCAGTCACACATCCTTCTGCTTCTGTCTCACAAGGTGTAAAAAGTAAATTAACAGAAATCACAATTAAATAGAGGTGGGAGACAGTGGGAGCGCTCATGCCCTGTGAGGAGAGCAGAGCTCAAAGGGCAGAAGAAGGACTTGTGTTGTTTCCTGGCAAGGACTCAGCCAATGAGAAGCCGTGGACCCTCTTCTTTACTACAGCCCTCCCCACTTCTCCTCTCTGTAAACACATTGTCCTTCCCTTGCCGTGTGGGGACTTGGATGTGGTTACAGACCTTGAACTGCAATTCTCTTCTGATCTAGAATAAAACCATGTTTGCTGGAGAAATTTCTGGCAGTCTATTTGTTTCTGGTAAATAGAGGATATTTATGATTATATTTAGGGTCTACCCTGATAATCCAGGAAAATTCGTATCAAGAACCTTAAGTTAATCACATATCCAAAGTCCCTTTTGCCACATAAAGTCACATTTTCATTTTATGTAGTTAAAAATTTTATTGGAGTATAAGTG